CGTCCATCATGGAAATAAGTTGAGGCAGGAACCTGGAAGTAGGAACTGAAGCAGAAGCCATGAAAGAAACTGCTCACTGGCTTCCTTATAGATCAGGACCAACTGCCCAGGAGTGAAACCACCTGCAGTGGGCTAGGCCTTCTCACAGCCGTCACTAATCAAGACAATATCCCATAGATTTCCCTCCAGGCCAGTCTTAGGAGGCATTGTCTTCCCTCTTTCAGGGGCTGGAGAGTTGGCTCAGCAGTGAGGAACACTTGCTGTTCTTCCTAAGGACCCATAAGCACCCATGTCTGGTGACTCTCAGCTGTCCAGCTTCATGCACACGAAAACGCACACACACAGACACAGACATAGACAAGATGGGAGAAAAAAGGAGGAGGGGACTAGGGAGAGAAATAAAAAGTAAAATAAATCTTTTAAAAATGTTTCTCTTTCCAGATATGTGTAGGTTTGTGTCAAGTTAATAAAAACCAGAACAGTTGACCCCTTGTGAGCTTGACACAAACATATCAGTGACTAAGCTATGCTCTTTCGCTTTTGTTATCCCCAAGATCTCAATATCAATTTATCAAAATAAAACATTCCTAATTTTGAAAGTCTCACTTTAAAAGTTCAGGCTCTCTTCTTATGTCTTTTTGTGAGACAAGTTTTCTCAGTCAGTGGTTCTCAATCTTCCGAATACTGCAACCTTTTAATACAGTTCCTCATGTTGTAGCAAACCCCAACCATAAAGTTATTTTCATTGCTACTCAATTTTGCTACTGTTATGAATCATAATGTAAACGTCTGTGTTTTTTGACAGTCTTCAGTGACTCCTGTGAAAGGGTCATTTCATCCCCAAAAGGAGTTGAAACCCACAGGTTAAGAACCACTACAGTAAGCAGGCATGGTTTCACACGCCTGTAACCCCAGCACTCTGGGAGGCAGAGGTAGGCGGATCACTGTGAGTTTGAGGCCAGTCTGATCTACAAAGTGAGTCCAGGACAGTCAGGCTACACAGAGAAACCCTGTCTCCCAAAACAAAGAAAGAAAGAACCAGTGCTCTAGTCTTAGTGGTCCTGGAACTCACTTTGTAGACTCAGCTGGTTCTAACAGATCTGTCTGCCTCTCCCTCCTGAGTGCTGGGATTAAAATCTTCTGCCATCATTTCTGGCCCAGGTTCAGAGTCTTTAAAACATCAAAGATCTCCTTTAGAGTTCAGACCCTCTCTAAAATATCCAAATGCTTTTAAATTGTGGGCTCCTGTAAAATAAAAAATAAGTTAAGTACTTTGTTACTCCGGTAGGGAAAAACCAGGACACAATTACATTTTCAACAAAGCAAAGCCAAAACCAGCAGTGTGAAAAATTCAGTGTTTGCATCTAGGACCTGCTTGCTGTCCTTTGGGCTTGGTAGTGGCCTTTCTCCAGCTCTGCCATCCGCAGCACAGCACATCTAAGCTCAGGCTGGCTCCAGCTCACAGCAGCTGCTGTTTGGGGTAGTCACCCCGTGGTGCTGGCATCTCAAAATATTGTGGTCTACACTGCAACTGGGCTGTACCTTTATCGAAGGCCTCTTCAGGGCTCTTGTTAGGGACAGTGACCCTACCTTGTAGTGCCAAGCCTCAGCTTTTCTCCATGATCCCTGGGGCTTCTCCTTCAAATATGGCTGTACCAATGGCCTCAACTGTTCTTCATGCCCATGCCCTGCCTTCAAACCTAGTACGACCAGGCGACTTACACATCACTAAGTTTGGCTGTCAGCTCAGGTACCCAGTCTTGCCTGCCTCTGGACCACAGCTTCTGTGTGCTGATCCTAAGGAAATAACTTTCAAGATTTCACCTGAATGTGCTGGTCTCTTAATCAGCTGATTTCTCAGCTCTCCCCAACCATTGTAAGTTGTCAGTATAGGTCTTACTTCAGTGGTGCTGGTCTCTTCTTAATCATAGCTGATTCTTAAACCCCAGCTGACCAGAGGCATGTATTCTCAGTTCAAAAATATATGAGCAAAATATTATATGAACCCTCATAATATTTAATATTATTTTAATATTATAATCATATAATCTTTAAAGATTATGCTGCCACATTCCTTTCCCAAATACAATGATGTCTATCACAGCAATACCTCACTTCTGGTACCAATTTCTTAATTAGGGAATCTATCACTGTGATAAAACACCATGACTTGGGGAGCAACTTGGGGAGGGAAAAGTTTATTTTAGTTTACAGTTCTGTATCACAGTTCATCACTGAGGAAGGCAGAGCAAGAACTCAGGAACCTGGGGGTAGGAGCTGATACAGAGGCAGTGGAGGGGCTCTGCTTACTACTTTATTCTTGGCTTGTTGAGTTTGTTTTCTTACCTAGGGCCACCTGCCTAGGGCTGGCACCGCCCACAATGGGCTGGGCCCTCCTACATCAACCGCTAATCAAGAACAGGCCAAGCTGGTGTATGCATTTTTTAAAGTGAGGTTCACGCTTCCTAAATGACTCTTACTTGGTGAAGTTGACATGAAGCTCATGCAGACAAGAAGTCTTAGGTTAGTGTGGCAGGTGGAAGTTAGGTGTGGGAGGTGATCACGTGGAGGAAGGTAGATGGTGGGTGGAGATGAAGATCATAAGCACTTGCTGATGCTTTACAGAAGGGCTGGAGCTGGGGGATATCCTTCTGTGAGGGAACACTGACAAGACCTGGGGTGCCAGGTGGTGGTGGTGCACACCTGTAGTCCCAGTCGGATCTCTGTGAGTTCAGGGCCAGCCTGGTCCAGAGAGCAACAAGTTCCAGGACCGCCAGGGTTACACAGAGAAATCCTGTTTTGAAAACAAAACAAAACAAAACAAAAATTGAATTTCAGTTGCTATCCAGGTACTTTTTTAGGATTTATTTTATTTTGAGACAAGTTCTTCCTATGTAGTTTTGGATGGCCTGGAACTCAGATCATCCGCTTGCTACTACCTCTTAAGTGCTGGAACTATAGGTGTGTACCACCAGGTTTGATTTGAGCTCCTCACTCTTAATTCCTCAACTCCCTCCATATAGCAAATGAAGCTTTAGGTCTAGAAAAAGCTCAGTAAGTACTAGGCAAGTTGTTTTTTTAATTTTTATTTTAATGAACTTTATTGTAAAAATAACAAAAAACCTTTTCAAATAAATAAAAACATCACACCCCAAAATTAATGAGACTCAAAGACTGTATTACTCAGTGAACTTCTACACTGTTAGCTTTTACATTTCCTTTAATAATTTATTTTACTGTTTTATACTTATGAGGGCTTGCATGTATGTGTCAGCACTACAAGCATGCCTGGTGCCCATGGAGGTCAGAGGAGGACATCATATCCCTTTGGACTGGAGTTACAGACGCTTGCGAGCTGCCGTGGGAATTGAATCCAGGTCATGTGTGAGAGCAAGGGCACTTAGCCCCTGGCCATGTCTCCAGCTCTGCTGTATGATTAGAATAGGTGTGCAGAAGAGAGGCTGTGCAGCGTCACATTGAATTTCATACTTTCAGTGCTGAACATAGCGTAGGCACATACCCATTACCAAACCCAGAAATTCCATGACAGTTAGAACTAGAAAAACAAGTAGCTTATATTCTTTTTCGTAACTTGTGTCCATTACCATTCAGTCCTTCCTTGTCCCTTCTATATAGCCTTTCTGTATAGAAAGGCTTTTCTTCATGTTATACTGTATCTACAGGTGCATTTATTTGTATACATAAAAATCATTGGAGAGATTCTGCATATGCGAGAAAACATGGGATTTCTTTCTTTATGAGGTTGTGTGAGCTTGCTCAGTATTTTACTTTCCAAGCGTATTCATTTTCCTACAATGTCTTAACTTTATTTTTCTTTAAAGCTGAGTAGTGTTCTATCATATATATGATATATATGTATATATGTGTGTGTGTGTCCATTCATCTATTGGTGGAAAAGTAGGATGATTCTAATTCTTTGTTAGGCCAGTCTTCAAAAACACAGATAGGTGGGAGGCTGAGGCAGGCAGATCTGTGAGTTTGAGGCCAGCCTGGTGTGGTTTAAAAATCCCAAGCGCTGGGATTAAAGGCATGTACTACCACCACCCGGCGTTTTTCTTTTTCTTATCACATTTTGAAGTATCATTTGTCAACTAAATTGATAAAATTCAGCATAGTGCTGGTTTTGAATTTTTTATTTATTCCCATTAAGTTTTGTGTGTTGGGGATTTTAAAGTGTGGCAAGAAGTCACGTCAGCATTAACATAACACATTACCAGATCTACTTGGTGGTTTCTTTATTTACATTGTACAGAAGGTTAAAATAGTAACTGGGTATTTAGAATTGGAACATTTTGAGTGTATTTTGGTGGCACTGTTATTTAGATTTGAAGGCACAGGATGGGAGCCACCTGTTCAGGGGGTAACTAAAATCTGCTTCTTGTGTTTTTAGAGGCTTCGTGACGGAGTGATCAGAGACATTGAGAGGCAGAATCAGAAAAAAGAAAACATTCGTCTTTTGGGAGAACAGATTATTTTGACTAAGCAGCTTGAAGCAGAAAGAGAGAAGATGTTGGAGAAGGGATCTCAGAACTCCTGACTGTGAAGATCGATGGGCGGCGCTGAGTTTGTGTATAAAGGTGGAGGTGGTGTGTTGATGGAGTGTAGAGAGACCTGCCTGCTCCCCCCTTAAAATAACTGTCCATTTACACTTTCTTCTTTCTTTCTTTTTTTTTTTTTCCGAGACAGGGTTTCTCTGTGTAGCCTTGGCTATACTGGACTCACTTTGGATACCAGGCTAGCCTCGAACTCATAGAGATCTGCCTGCCTCTCCCTCCCTGAGTTCTGAGATCACAGGTGTGCACCACCACACCCAGCTTATTTAAACTTTCTTAAATGAAGGACAGTGGATCTTGTCTTCTAAATTGCTTCTGTTAAGAATCTGCTCTGTCTGGACAGGGCAATTGTGGGTAGATGCTCTTCTGAAGATCTGGCTGGGGGATTCCTGCCGCAGTCCCTGTCAGCCTAGGAGTGCTGTGAACAGGGCACCATGGATAGTAGCATCCACTTGAGCAGTCTGCTGAGTAGGCATGATGACGAAGCCACAAGGACGTCGACCTCGGAAGGGCTGGAGGAAGGTGAGGTGGAGGGAGAGACTCTGCTGATTGTGGAATCAGAGGATCAGGCATCGGTGGACTTATCTCACGACCAGAGTGGGGATTCCCTCAACAGTGATGAGGGAGATGTGTCCTGGATGGAGGAGCAGCTGTCGTACTTCTGTGACAAGTGCCAGAAATGGATCCCAGCCAGTAAGGACCTTCTCAGTTCCTATGATCAGTTGATCTTTGTATGATGGCTTATTTTCCAGTCTGTAATAAAATAGACTTGAATAAAAATATAGTCATTATATTTATTATTATTAACCTAATTTACCAAATGTAAGTTTATTCGAAGACACATTTCTTGCTTTTAGTTTTTGAAAACGTGTATTTTGTGTGTGTATGTGTGTGTGCCTGAGTGTGTGCGCACCACGTACACGCAGTGCCTGCGGGTCAGAAGAAACGTCAGACCCCCTGGAGCTGGACTCACGTGGTTGTGAGCCGCTGGGCACTGGGAACTGAACCCATGGTCTCTGCAAGGGCAGTAAATGCTCTTAACTGCTGAGCCATCTCCAGCCCCACAAAGACACATTTGTATTAATGAAAATCGTCACCCACTGTCCCATTGTTAAATTAACATTCTGGATGGGAGCCCAAGAACAATTAGGAATCCTGTTTACTTAAGGAATTGTCCATATTTTTCTATCAAGGTTATGCTGTGGGCTTTTTGGGGGCACATTCTATTGCCGTTATAAGAATTCAAGGTCTGTGAATTAGTTGACATTTGTGCAGTACTGCTGTTGTCTGCTGAGGGGAGATGAGAATTGTCAGTCCAACGGTATTTGGTTCCTGCCTTTAGACCAGGCTTATTTTCCACTGTGGGCCTCTTTTATTCCTGACAGGAGTTAAAATGCACAGATCTTGAGGTTTTCAGCTGCCGGCTTTGTAGCATGCTTTGCTAGCCATGATTTTTACCCAAACAGCATTTTCCATTAGGCAAGAGACTAGAAAAGGCACATGTACTGGAGAAATGCTTTGTATAAGAGTTCATAGCTGGTGAAATGGAGCTATAACACACTTAGTGAAGTTGGCCATTTTCTGGTATGTAGAAGCTTTTGTTAAAAACTATTAAGATTAATAGCTACTGTAAATAGGTTAATAGTAACAGTTCTTAGAAAACAAACCTAGAACTGACTATTTAGCTGTATGCTGCTGAGCTGTCTAGTAAAATCTTTGGCTCTCCAGTTGTTGTCATGACCTTCATGGTTGGGCCCTGCTAACTTTTCTAGAGAGCTTAGGGTAAACTTTTCATTCTTTCCAAATAATTCCTTGGTTCCTAGGATTTCATATGTTTTTGTTTTGTCTCAGGACTATGCACCTGGGCAGCTTCCCTGCACTCCTGTCCCACAGGTAGCCCTCTTCTAGCCAATGGCTATTCTCCCCTGGGCCCAGTAGACCCCATTCCCTCCCTAACGGCATTGCCTATCCCCTTTCCATCTCCTTGGACCGCCAGGTGCTGCACGTTACATTCTGTTCTGGAAGTTTTCGTCGCACAGTGCATCACCATCACTTTCATGCAGAGCCCAGGCCTGACATCAGAGACTGAAGCATTTCATTTGGGGGTGGATATGACCAAAGTAAAGAAATAAAGCCCAGCCGCCAGGGTGCTTCTGAAGCTCCACTAGAATCTAGAACCAGGGCAGTTGTGTTTACTGGTTCTTAGCTGCCTCCAGATTGGTGAGCCCATGAGAGCAGGTGCAGGTCCAGTCCCCAGCCTGGTTCCTGGCTGGCGGCACAAGCTCAGGAATTCCCTCAAAGAATGTTTGAAGAGACTGCCTAGAGGAGTCAGGAATGTGACTCCTGGGAAATCCAGTTATAGCAATCATACCTGCTTTTCCAGGACCTCTCTCCTAAAAAGCTAAGGAGCCGAAGGTTCTAGGAGGGACGTGTACCTGCCATTAGAGGGGAAACATCTTTCGCTTTCTCCTCTGCTGCTACTCTGAGCTGGCTGCAGCAAAAGAAGAGCCCACCATGGGAAACTTGGAAATGTAGTCAATGAACTGAGCTGTTGAGTTCCCACTAATGAAATAAACCTGTGATGTGACTTTCTGCTTTTTCTCACAGGTCAGCTGAGGGAACAGCTCAGTTATCTTAAGGGCGATAACTTTTTCAGGTTTACTTGTTCCGATTGCTCTGCAGATGGCAAGGAGCAGTCCGAGAGGCTGAAGCTGACATGGCAGCAAGTGAGTACACAGCTTTTGTCTAGACTATCAGGTTGGGTGGCCCAAGAAACTGGAATGATTATCTGGAGTGAGAACTTCGGGGTGGGATGGGGATGGGTGCTTTACATTTCACAGTGAAAATGGGTACAGAATGTATGGAAAGAGCACTTCTTGGTCTAAAAAAAAATGCTCACTGCTAATTTATTGAATTCGAGACTCCTAATTTCATTTATGTCATACCAAGTTTAGATTCAACTGAAAATCAGGCCCACATTGTTCTGACAGTCACTTCTAGCCTAATAAACCAGAGGTGGCTAAGCTGGAAGTAGATTTGGCAGAAACAGTTTGACTTGGTAACAATCAGTTGGTTCAGCCTTTCTGCATTTGAACCTGGAGACAAGTCTTTGTTGATGAATGCTTTTAGCTGTCTCAAATACCAGCACTCTAGAAAGTAACTTTTTACTGATCTTTAGGTTATATTAAATTGATTGATTTTATTTTAAAATGTGCATATCTAATAAGATGACAAAGTATATCTAGTCCTTAAGTTATGAATAACTTTTACATTCATCACTGGTTTTGTTGATGTCTGGGGTCAAACTCACAGCCTTGCTGACATTAAGGGCTATGCCTGTGAGCTGTACTCCAGACCCCTTGGGTCTCTTATTTCTCGGTTTATGTTTATTTGACATACACTGAGTCCCTACAGTGAGACAGGCATTATCTGAGTCCTGGAGAATGCTGTGGTGGGTGAGTCAGCTAAAGCCTCCACCCTAGGCCTTAGGGGCCATTGGCATTCCACAGACAGATAAATGTGATAATTGCCCCAGCCCTTTCTCCTTTGAAGAAAATAAAATAAATAGTAATGTGGAAGATTTTAGATTTTAGATGTGCTGTGTTGGCCACTTAGGTTGGCTCTTGCAGACGGTAGTTGCCATAATAACCTGAGTGGTTTTCTTTATCATCACTGCTCAGTTAGGTCACCCCAGGGCACCTGTCCACCAATTTGGGAGGCTGCTCTGACTTGCCAAAATCCAGAGGTAGAAAATGAAGGAAGTTTGAATTGAGTGTATAGTCTCCTGGGGTCACAGTTGCACTCCCCCCCAACCCCTAGCTCGCATACTGTATGTGGGCAAAGTGTGTTATGACGAAGAGAATTGAAATACATAGCTGGACTTGTGGTAAGCTGAAAATGGAGGAAAGCAAATATATGATAATTTTCAAGAATGTTAGATTTCTATGGAAATATCCTCTGTAAATTTTTTTAAAGTTAGTTCTTGGTTATATTCATCAGAATATGTACTGTTGGCCCTGTTCTTACATAATCAGGTTAGCACTGATTGAGAAACTTTTTTTTTTTTTTTTCACTTCTGGAAGATGTAGTAGTTGTGGATAATAGCCTGGCAGGAAGAACTGATAATTAAATCATACATCTTAGAGAACGTCTACACGTTAGGCATACATTCCCGTAAGCTACCAACCAGTGTTTCTGGCAGCAACTGGAAAAGTCCATCTTTTGTCAGAAATTGGAAGGAGAACCAGCTGGTTGGGTCTCAGTGCCCTCAGTAGGGGTTCAGATGCTTAGAGTACTGTAACTTGTGTTTTCAGCTTTTTAAATCTTGTACTTTGTTGATCTAAGTAAGGAGAGATACTTGTGACATACAGCATTTTCTTTATACAATCCCACCAGTGAAGATCTGCTCCTTTCCCTCTATGGTCCTCTGTGTCTCCTCTTCTTCCTGTGCCTGTTGCCTTGCAGCACAGAAGAAACTTTGCGAACTACCTTGGGGGTTAGATGCTTGCACACTCTCGTGCTGGAACTGCACTCTTCTGACAGGGTGAAGCATTCCTGTGCATGCCTGCAGCAGGCAGTGCCCAACTGTCTGTCCACTCTGTCCCCAGTTGAGGCAGACCTGGAGACATTTGGGTCCAGAAGACCAGCTTCCTTATGGTGAGCTTGGTCTGGAAGAGGAGACACAGTGGGTCCTTTCACATTAGTGTTCATCAAAGACTAAGTGATTACAGAAGAGCCGTTTCCAAGTAAATAACTTGTCATTCATGAAATACCGAAATGTGCTGAAAATGAATAACAGGCAGGCATCTACGCTTGAGATTGGCAGTGAAACATGTTTCTGAGTAGGAGTCTGAGAATGGGTAAAGCTTATTCCACAACTACGATGTCTGTTGAATAACTTTGTCTTTCTGTGTGGTAAGAGACTTAGACTGTAAGATGGACCCTTTATCATTGTTTGGGCGTAACCGTCTCCAAACTCTATCTGCCCAAATGGACACCTGATGTCTGTGAAGTGATTCTGTGAGTTTTAAAGGAAGTCAGTCACTTGTTGGCTGCCGCTGACCTGATGCACAGATAAGTAGAAGTCACTTGAAAGGCCTGTGTGGGGGTTAAGTGCACAGGAGTTGTGCACGTGCTAACGTGCAGCGAGCTGAGGCTTGTTGGTGCAGTTCCCAGAGCCCTGTGCATGGTGTGGATGTGGACGTAGCTCTTTGCATAGAGTCACTGGGGCCTCAGTGAGGTGAACACACTGGAGGTGGCTCTATGTGTGGGTTGTCACTATAGAACGAAGGGTTAGTTTATAATTCTTTTCTAGACCCTGTTCTTCAGCTTTGTTCACTCAGTGTAAGTTACGGTGTTTTAAAAGGTTTCATTTCATGTGTATATATCTGTGTCTGTGCACCTCTGAGTGCCTACAGAGGCCAGAAAGGGTGTTGGATCCCCTAGAGCTGGAGGTAAAGGCAGTTGTGAGCCACCTGACATGGGTGCTAGGAACTGGACTTGGGTCTTCTGGTAGAGTAGCCATCTCTCCAGCTTCTATGATTTTCATTGTAGGAAGAGATCATGGTTTTCAGTAGCTTGTACAGTTTTGTCCGTTTCTATAAAATTGCGTGTGTGTGTGTGTGCGCGCGCACGCGCGCGCCAGGAATTATGTGAAAGCATAGCCATTGAAGTGGTAAAATATGGCTTTTTTCCTTTGTTATTATTTGCTTTTGCTTTTTGAGACAGGCTGCCCTTAAGTTCACAGTCGTACCCCAGCCTCCTGAGTATTACAGTATAGGTTCCTAACTGTTCATAGCAAAAGTGCATGCTTCAGCCAGGTGTGATGGCCCACGCCTGTAATCCCAGCACTCATCAGAGGCAGGTGGATCTCTATGAGTTTGAGGTCAGCCTGGTCTACTAATTGAGTCAACCAGGGTACTATTACACAGAGAAACCCTGTCTCTAAAAAAGTGCATGTTTCTTTTTTTATATAGAAACTTTAAAAGAAATTAAGATTTTATTATATGTAATACACATATGATATATGTGTATATATACAAACATACATACATACATACATATATACATACATATATATACATATATATGTAATAAGTACTGCACCATACTTTTCTCAGTAGGCCAGGAATCCTTGTCTGTAAAGTAACAAGATTGGACCAGATAGGAGTTGGTACACCGAGCTGCAGGGTGTCTTGGAGTCCTTTATGAGTGAGATGGACAGCCAGGCCTTTACTTCTGTCCCTTGTTTACTGCTGACTCCACTTGAAGAAAGGTATCCAAAGCTCCAAATGCCGTGTCACTGAGCAGAGAGATGCCTGTAACATTGCCCAGCTGTGAAATTCCGAGTCTTGTCTTTGACCTTGAAAAAGCTTAGAAAAGTACGAATTCAGAAGTGATTTGCAAAATGTTGAATAACTAACTGGCACCATCAGTCCGAACATGCTGTGTGGAGTCAGCTCCTACAGGCCTGCTCTGTCTGCATGTAACCCCTTTGTTTAGAGTTGTGAGGAGCAGGGTACTTGCGACAGTGCCTCCTGATCAGCCCAGCCACATACTAGCCCTTAATGTGTGACATACAGAGTACCTAATAACTGAATTAGTGATACCTTACGAAAACAGAAAAGGAAGACTATAAATCTGTCTGCATGTACACCCGCATGCCAGAAGAGGGCATCAGATCAAGTTGTAGATGGTTGGGAGCCACCATGGGGTTGCTGGGAATTGAACTCTGGTCCTCTGGAAGAGCAGTCAGTGCTCTTAACCCTAGAGCCACCTCTCTAGACCCCCTGCCTGGATGATTGCAAGAGCTCATCCTGTGTCTTCCATTCCCCCATTCCTGCTTGGACTCTAAAACAGAACAGCTTTTCCCTGTGGATACTGACATCCTCCTGAGGCTGCCCTCCCAGCCTGTCTCCATTGTGTTTCAGGTGGAGAACAGCTTTTCCCTGTGGATACTGACATCCCTCCTGAGGCTGCCCTCCCAGCCTGTCTTCCATTTGTGTTTCAGGTGGTAATGTTGGCAATGTACAACTTGTCTCTGGAAGGAAGTGGACGTCAAGGCTATTTCCGGTGGAAAGAAGATATTTGTGCTTTTATTGAGAAACACTGGACCTTTTTACTAGGAAACAGGTAACAGGGTTTTAAAACATCTTATCCTTGTAGAAAGATGTAAACAATATATACACAAGCCAAGAACCTAGTGTAGCCCTGATAGGGATTTGCAGTGTAGCACAAAAGGGGAGCTGTAGACCAGAAAATGTGGGTTTGTGTTGTTTTCTTATTCTGCTTCCAGAGGGGATGGTAGGTTTACTGAGCATGATGCATTTGCAGGGATTCTTGGGTAAGTAAGTAACTTGAGGAAAGAGGACTGTGATGGCCTTTTAAAATGGAGCGATAGAGGTCAGAAGAGAAACGGAAAGGGCAGTTGATAGCGGCACCTGTTTAGGTTGCTCTTGCGTGAGTCTTTTAGTGTTGTCCCTTACTAACTCTGGAGAGCACTCTGCACACTCGTCCTCAGAGCTTAGTGAAGCTTGCCACATCCACGTGCACATGGCTCTTTAGTGCTCTTGGGTAATTGTGTTTGAGTTTTGCTGTTAAGCCTTCTTGCCGGCTGCGCTGCTTTGCTGGAGTTAGGGTGAGCGCCAGACTTGGGTCTGCGCGCTGAGGCTGAATGCTGAAGGCCATGTGAGCCCGAAGAGCTGTGAGGGTGAGGGTGAGTGCGCTGCACTGGTGCACTTTGAGGTCACGGCTCCTGGTTGCTCTCTGAGGTGCGGAAACACTGGGTTAGGTGAGCATAGAGGTGACAGTGGCTCCGGATTACTGCAGCACAGCAAAGCCGGGCCACAGTCCGGGCTCTGGCAGCCTGTTCCCTCTGGTACTGAGAAGTTGGCTTTGCCCAGGTCTTTTTTCACATGTATGTCTGTGTACCACATGTGTGTAGTGTGCCCTCTGACAGCAGAAGATAGTACTGTGTCCCCTAGAACTGGAATTGGAGTTGTGAGACACCCAGATCCTTTGGGAGAACTCATGTTCTTCACTGCTGAGCCATCTCTCCAGATACCCAGACTTAAATATCTTTAAATGTTACCATTCCAAACTGTTAATAGTACTGCTGTGCACAGATCTCGGGAGCCCTTTGGTCCAGCAAACCTCAAGTGCTGCACACTTTGGACAACTCTCCCTTCTCTCGTCCTTCCAGCCCCGCAAACACTGTCTGTGCTTTTGACTATCCCATTTCATTGTGTAGAATCGGTTGTGAGGTACCCTGTGGTTGCTGGGAACTGAACTCAGGACCTTTGGAAGAACAGCCATTGCTCTTAACCTCTGAGCCATCTCTTCAGCCCCTACTAAACGCTTGTAAAAGTGAACATGAAAAGACAAGCACCTTAACATTCTAAAAATAATTTTTATTTCATATGCTCTGGGAGGCTTAAGCCCCAGGGATCCTTGGACCTTTCCTTAAGAATTGCTGGTATCAAGGCTGGAGAGATGGCTTAGGGATTGAAAGCACTGGCTTTGTTCTGTAAGACCCCGGTTTAGCCAGGTATGGTGGAACATACCTTTAGTCCCAGCTTGGGAGGTAGAGGCAGTCAGGTTGCTGTGAGTTCGAGGACAGCCAAGGCTACACAGAGAAACCTTGTTGGGGGGGGGGGGGACCCAGGTTTGAGTCCCAGCGCCAAAGTAGGAATCGGCTCACAACCATCTGTGACTCCAGCTCCCAGGGATCTAACATTCTTTTTGGTTTCCAAGGACACCTGCACACACCCATGCAGAGGAGAAATAAACTTAGAAGGACTGCCAGGGCAGGTGCGCTCTGAGGAACATTAGTTGTTTGGGAAGCATGATAATTGTACTTTTCCTTGTTATTTTTTTGCATCCTAAGGGCTGCATTTAAAAACCTTTAGGGGACTGGAGAGATGGCTCAGGGGTTAAGAACACTGGCTTTTCTTTCAAAGGTCCTGAGTTCACTTCCCGGCAACCACATGGTGGCTCACAACCATCCTCACTGAGATCTGGCGTGTAGGCAATGCATGTAGGCAGAGTGCTATATAAATAATAAATGAACCTAAAAAAAACAAAACAAAACCTTCTTTAGGCCAGGTGTGGTGGCACACCCCAGTAATCCCAGGGCTCCGGAGGCAGAGGTGGGTGGATCACTGTGAGTTCAAGGCCAGCCTGGTCTACAAGTGATAGAGGGCAGCCAAGGCTACAAAGAGAAACCTTGTCTCAAAAAACAAACAAACAAACAAACAAAATCCTTAGGGCTGGAGAGATGGCTCAGAGGTTAAGGGCACTGGCTGTTCTTCCAAAAGTCCTGAGTTCTCAGCAACCACATGGTGGTTCAAAACCATTTATAATAGTGCTGTCTTCTGGCATGCAGGCAAAATACTGTATATATAATAAATAAACCTTAAAACAAAAACAAACAAACAAGCAAACAAAAAACATTTTCTTGGTGGAATGATTATCTGGGGATGAGAAAGCAAGGGGACTGTTTCTCTCATAGTCTTAGCCCTTGGATGAGAGGATGTGTTGGAAAGGTTAAAGAAGTGAGGATGTAGGAGACATGCTTGGAGCCCAGAGATGGGATGGAAGACAGATAGCACTTAGGAACGCTTGTCACTGTAATGGGCTATCCAACACGGGCTGCCTATGAAGTAAAGAAGTTTATTTTGCCTCGTAAGTCTAGAAGTTCAGTTCTAAGATCAAGAAACCTTTTGTCTGAGCCTCAGGTGAGCATGGTACATGTTGGTGTATGTGTCGAAACAAACTGTCATATCTGGAGCCAGGAATAGAGAGGGGAAAGGACTGACCAAGAGGCTATGGGTGCACTCCCAGTGAGCCAAGGGTCGCACTTCTTAAATGTCCACAGCTCCAGCAGTACCACCCCGAGATCAAGCCTTTACATACGGATTGCAGACTACATCCAAGCTGTAGCTCTTGCCGAAGGGCTTTTCCCTTCATTTTCTAGTGCATGTTTGTTTCTTTTCTTTTGAAGCAGAGTTTTCTGGCTGGTAGATTGTTCTCTTTTTGTGAAAGCTAGTTTTTGAGAAGTCCTGGTAATTGATTTACGTTTGCAGCGTGGAGATTATGGCCATTAAAGTAATTTTCAGTGGATAAGCAGTTGGCCTTCAGCATGAGTCTTCACTTTGTTATGTTTTCTGTCTGTGAAGCATGCCTTGGAACCCCTGGTACATCAGGGCACAATGAATCAGACAGAGATGTGTTCTCTGGGTGAAACAGCTCTTCACTAGGACTAATGATTAATTGTGTCACCAATGCCCAGGCTCATAGTCAAGAAAGCTGGCTTGGTTTCTTGATCATTTTTTCCCCTGTGGTAATTGATAAGTGGTTGAGTTTTGTCTGTTTGTTTTGTTTTTTTGGGACAGGGTCTCTCTGTAGTCTTAGAACTTTGATATGTAGATCAGGCTGGCCTCAAGCTCACAGAGATCCTCCTGCCTTGGCCTCCCAAGTGCTGAGATTAAAGGCGTGTGTCATCACACCTGGTGATGATAAGTGTTTTATGTTTGAATTACTTCATTTGATCCCCTTAGCCACCCTGTAAGGTAATCCTGGTTTCCCAGATGAAGAAACTGAGGCAGCTGGAAGGTGAGAGGGAAGGACTTGAAGCCAGGCAGACTTCAGGCCCTTGCTCTGGGCTGCAGTGCTCTCTCTCTTCACCCAGCCATCCAGGAATCTGAGAGTTTATGTAGTGCATACTCTGCTGTGATTAGAGTGAAGCGTCACTAGCTTTACATTCTCTGCGCTTTAGGAAAAAGACTTCGACGTGGTGGAGCACGGTAGCAGGCTGCCTCAGCGTGGGAAGTCCTGTTTATTTCCGATCAGGTGCTCAGGAATTTGGAGAGCCTGGGTGGTGGAAACTTGTGCATAACAGGCCCCCAACAATGAGACCCGAGGGAGAGAAGCTGTCCGCCTCCACATTGAAAGTGAAAGGTAAAGTGTGAGAGTCGCCCAGGGCCCAGATGGGGACTTTACCCAGCCTTCTAGCTGCCTGTGGAGCTGTGAGGTGGGACAGTTCCACAGTGTGTGTATGTGTGTGGGGGGGGCTATTACTATATCTAAATACTATAGAAAACTTGATCATTTTCTAATCAAGTTACTAGTGTTGTCATTTCCTTTGTTGACCCCCTCCCCCCCGCATTCTTTCTGTGTGCCTGTCTTCACATGGTCGCTAGTCAAAGCTGCCCGGAAACTACTGTGTAGCACACGCTAGCTTTGGACAGCATGCCTCTGCTTCCCTTGTAGTGCATGAACCAATCCACCAAACAGAAGACTGAGAACCTTTTCGCTTTTTTGTTGTATAAATTACACCCACCTGAAGGCGAAGGGAACCGAGTGATAAAATAAGCCCAGGCTCTCTCACAGCAGCAGTCGATCCCAGGGTTGCCTTTATCCAGTGCTCTGGTATCTCCTCTACCCTTCCACCCTCTTTACCCTTGACCTCCTTGGAATTAAAATGTCATGTGTCAACATTTTTTTTTTTTTTCAAGACAAGGGTTTTTCTGTGTAGTTCTAGCTGTCCTGGACTCCCTTTGTAGACCAGGCTGGCCTTGAACTCAAAGAGATCCACCTGCTTCTGCCTCTCTAAATGCTGGGATAACAGGGATTACCACTGTGCCTGTCAAGTGTCAACATTTTATTCTTTAATATTTCAGTATGTGTCTCTAGTATGTTCTTTATCTTTTGTTTGTTTGTTTGTTTGTTTTGGTTTCTTGAGATAGGGTTTCTTTGTGTAGCCTTGGCTGTTGTGGAACTAGCTCTGTAGACCTGGCTGGCCTCAGACTCAAAGAGATCTTCCTGCCTTTGCCTCTCAAGTGCTGGGATTAAAGGTGTGTGCCATTACTGCCTGGCTAAGAAACTTTAAAAATTTTTTATATTAATTACAGTTTATTCATTTTGTATCCCAGCTGTAGCCCCCTTCCTCATTTCCTCCCAATCCTACCCTCCCTCATCTCCACTAAAAACCTTTTTAAAGCTTATAAGTTAAAAACTACATAACTGGTATAAGCCTTTAATCACAGTACTCTGGAGGTAGAGGCAGGTGTATCTCTGTAGGTTCAAGGCCAGCCTGTTCTATAGTTCTAGGCAGCCAGAGCTATCCAGTGAGATCCAAAATACATGCATGCGCAAAGCATAACCAGGTATACCAGCACACACTAATAACTCAGTACTAGAGGGGCTGGGGACATAATGATTATGAGTTCTAGGCCAGTCTGAGCTACAGCAAGACTGATTCAAAACAAAATTAATAAAAGAGTGGAAAGATACTGTAATATTAACCCTTCACAGTGCCCCTTAATATGCTCTGGACATCCTTTTGTTGCAGTGTATGCAAATCTACCCTATTTTTCTTTAATTTCATTGACTCCAGTATATGACCATTTAATGACAGTATCTTAACACTCCTTTGTTATCTTAGTTTGGGTTCCTATTGCTGTGACCAAAATCAGCTCAAGGAAGAAAGGCTTTCTTTATTTGATGCACACTTCCATTATCAAAGGAAGTCAGGACAGAAACTTAAGCAAGGCAGGAACCTGGAAGCAGGAGGTGACTAAGAAAATGCTGTCATTTAGGTCTATATAGAGATAACCTCGAACCCGTAGGACCCCTGCACGGATGTAGCCCATAGCAGCTCAGTATCCAAGTGGTTTCCCTAGTCATGGGAACAGGGGCTGTCTCTGACATGAACTCAGTGGCTGGTTCTTTGATCACCTCCCCCTGATGGGGGTAGGGGAACAGCTTTACCAGGCCACAGAGGAAAACAATGCACCAGTCCTGATAGGCTGGGGTCAGATGGAAGGGGAGGAGGACCTCCCCTATCAGTGGACGTGGAGAGGGGCATAGGAGTAGAAGAGAAAGGGAGGATGGGATGGAGAAGGGATAAGGGAGGGGGCTACAGCTGGGATACTAAGTGAATAAACTGTAATTTATAAAAATATAAATAAATGTTTAAAAATGAAAAAAAAAAAAGAAAGAAAAATGCCCTAGGGGCTAGAGAGATGGATGGCTTAGCAGAGAGAAGCACTTGCTGCTGCTTTTCCAGAGGACCTGAGTTCAGTTTTCAGCACCCATGTCACAACTTCCTGTAACTCCAGCTCCGGAGACTCTGATACTGTCCTCTGGCCTCCCTGGGCACACACAAATACATAATAAACAATTTAAAAAAAATAAAAGCTAGGGTGGGCTTTATTGTGTATACAGGGCACACACAAATACATAATAAACAATTAAAAAAAAATAAGAGCCAGGGTGGGATGGGGGGGTGGCACATGCCTTTAATCCTAGCACTTGGGAGGCAGAGGCAGTCTGTGAATTCCTGGCCAGCCTGGTCTACAGAGTGAGTTCCAGGACAGCCAGGGCTGTTACACAGGAAAAGAAAGACAATGTCCTGCAGGCCCTCTTCTGCAATGACTCTAGCTTGAGTCAAGTTGACATAAAGCTAGCCAGCACACCTCTGTGGACATTTTAGGCGTTTCATGTGTGGTTGGTGGGTTGAGACAGGGTTCCATGTAGCCAAGCCTTGTCTTGAACTATTGGTCCTCCTGCCTCCTCTTGAATCCTGGATTACAGTTGTGCCACCGTGCCTGAGCTTTTCTTTTTAATTATTATTTTAAAAGTAAACTTGTGTGTGTGTGTGTAGGAGTGGGTGCCACATAAACCTGTGGAGGTCAGAGGGCGACTTGAAGGAGTCTGTTTCCTTCCCTGTGGGTCCCAGGCTGGAGCTCTGGCGGGCAGCCTTCACAGGTGCCTGGGCTCTTCTGCTGCTCGGGACTGAGCTATGGTCCAGTTCCTGAGGCAGTCTCATGGAGCCTAGGCTGGCCTCCAGTTCTGACCCTCCCGTCTGTACCTTCTGAGGATTTAGGATTATAGGCAGGAACTACTGTACTCAGCTTTTATCCTTTTTCTCATTTTACACAGTGCCACAAATTTTCAAATTCCTGCTTATGTACAAATTATGATAAATTACTGAAAATAGCGTTGCTGGATCAAAGAGTATATTTAGTTAAAAGTATTCCTGGTAATGCCAAATTACCCTCCACAATGCAAGTAAAATTTATTTTCTACAAAAAATAAAAAGTCAGGAAAGGCATATCATATTATTGATGATCATTATGAAATTTTACCAGATCCAATACAGGAAAGAGAATTGATAATGTTAGTTTGTTTAGATTTACATTGCAGTTTTTTTTTTTTTTTTAAAAAGGTCTTGCTATTATGGGTGGGTGTTAACTCGTAATTTACTTCTGGCTTTGAACTTGAGATTCTCCGCCTCCTCATAGGCATGCACCATCACACCCAGCTAAAGCATTTTTTTTGGAAGCAAGGTAAGGTTTTTGGTTGAACATTTGTTGAACATTTCTGTGTATGGAACATGATGCCAGAAGTACATTATGAAAGAAATAGTTAACATTAAAAAAAATAGTTAAGGAGATGGAGAGAGTGTTCTTCCATTAGGAGCATGTGAGGCTTTTGCAGAAGGCCTGAGCTCATTTCCTGGAACCCACATCAAGGTGGCTCACGATCACCTGTACCCAGCTCCAGGGAATTTGGTGCCTTTACTCACTTGTACGTAAATGCCCAGAAACACATACTTACACACAAGAATAAAATATATTTTTAGAAAGAACAGTTAACATAGAAATAATTTATTCTTTCCTGGCAGCTTCAAAACCAATGATGGATCCTATCATAACTGTTGAGGGACTCCGGAAAAGGGCAAGCCGGAATCCTGTGGAATCTGCCATGGAATTGAAGGAGAAGCGGTCCCGAACACAGGAAGCTAAAGACATCAGAAGAGCGCAGAAGGAAGCTGCTGGCCTCCTGGACAGGAGCACCTCTTCTACCCCTGTCAAGTTCATCAGCAGAGGCCGTAGGCCAGACATGATTCTGGAGAAAGGAGAAGTGATTGACTTTTCGTCCCTTAGCTCCTCAGACCGCACCCCGCTCACAAGCCCGTCTCCTTCTCCCTCTCTGGATTTCTCTGCCCCTGGGACACCCGCCTCACATTCAGCCACACCGAGCTTGCTTTCTGAGGCAGACCTCATCCCTGACGTGATGCCACCCCAAGCCTTGTTTCATGGTAAGGCTTGTGTTTTCCACCGGGGGGGTGAGCCTGGTGCTCGGCCTTTCTTCTTCCTTGTGTCCTGACAACAGTACCTTCTGCTTTGCACAGATGATGATGAGCTGGAAGGAGATGGAGTTATAGACCCAGGGATGGAGTACATCCCACCTCCAGCTGGCTCGGCGGCTTCTGGGCTGGTCGGGAGCAGAAAGAAGGTCAGAGCTCCCGAGCAGATAAAACAGGAGGTGGACAGCGAGGAGGAGAAGCCAGACAGGATGGATGGAGATAGCGAAGACACAGATTCGAACACTTCTTTGCACACTAGGGCTCGAGAAAAGAGGAAGCCACCCCTGGAGAAGGATGTGAAGCCCAAGGGGCCCAGGTATACACCTGTAAGCATCTACGAGGAGAAGCTGCTGCTCAAGAGGCTGGAGGCGTGCCCCAGTGCAGTGGCCATGACCCCAGAAGCGCGGAGGCTGAAGCGGAAACTGATTGTCAGGCAAGCGAAGAGGGAGCGAGGTTTACCCCTGTTCGACTTGGATGAGGTTGTGAACGCTGCACTTCTGTTGGTTGATGGGATGTATGGAGCCAAGGATGGAGGCGCGTCCCGGCTCCCATCTGGACAAGCTACATACCGGACCACCTGCCAGGACTTCAGGATCCTGGACCGGTACCAGGTGATGTGGGGCGGGAGGGTTGGCAGACAGCACCAGCCAGCGGATATTGGTATTGTGACATTTGAGATCAGCAGTAGTTTGGGGAGAAGAAAGCAAGCAAAACTTGTTGGGCTCCTCTTCAAAACCATTCATTTCATGCCCTTCATATACCTGAGTTTCTCACTCGTCACTCAAGGAATAGCCTAGCAGTTCTGTCTCTCTCCTGTGAGGGGAGCTATATGTGCTCTGTTCATGGTTTTGACTGACAGATTTGTTGAGGACACGTAGCCTAGACGCTGCCGAGCTGGAGCTGGGTGTGTAAACATCTGTACTTAGGCCTCAACATGAAGGAGTATGGGATCAGCATTTCTGGCGGGTGAGTTCCACCTGTGCTCTGGCAACCTCTACTTCAGCTCAGGACTGTGAGGCTGTCTCCCCGCTGTAGCGATCAAGGTCCACCAGCCCTTGAGCCTCATGTGCGTAACCTTTCCCAGTCCGTGGCTCTCAGCTGTAATGCTGTCTCACACTGCATCTCTTTATTACATCCGGGAGTGACTACTTTGTTTCCTGTTGGTCCTCTATGAATTGCTTGCTTAAGAGACTCTTTGCTCTTTGACATTTCCATTTTGTCCTCTCTCGCTCTCTCCTTTCCTTTTTCCTTTTTTCATTTTCCTTTCCTTTTTCCTTTTTCCTTTCCCTTTCCCTTTTCCTTTCCTTTTCCCTTTCCTTTCCTTTCCTTTTCTTTTCTTTTTGTTTTTTGAGACGGTGTTTCTCTGTGTAGCCTTGGCTGTCCTGCATTCACTCTGTAGACCAGACTGGCCTTGAACTCACAGAGATCCACCTGCGTTTGCCTCCCTGAGTGCTGGGATTACAGGCGTGCGCCACCACACACCTGGCCTCTCTGGACTCTCTTGGGAATCTTTATCACAGGTCTGATTGTCACTGACAAGCCAAGCACTGGGCCTCTTCCTCTGGGTGTATTTGGAGCTTGTGTGGGGCCCTTTGCATTTGGTTGTCTCCTTTCTGGAGTTCTCCCCATTTCCTGTTCTATTTCACCTGTCCTGTCCTCTAGGAACTCCCTGTTGTTTTGAACTGGCACACCTTCTGTGTAAAGGGCCTGATAGCAAGTACTGTGGGCTCTATAAGCCACACAGTCTGTGTTAGAGTTGAGCCCTCCCTGTGCTGGAAGCAGCCACACAGTAAATAACTCCCTCTCTACCCCAGCGAGTTCATTTACTAAAATGTTAGGGCTCGGCCTGAGGGTACATTGCCCTGAGACTGCTCCTGTAGGTCCTGACTTAAGATGTGTTTTTCTGTAGTGGTAAATATTATTGACTGCCCCTCCTGCATTACCCTTCCTGCTCTTCTCCCTTTTTCCTGTGCTGCTTATTGAAATGATGCTAGACTGCTTTTTCTTTATTTCTCTGGATTAGTTTCTTGCTGGGCTGCCTTCTCTAACAGTTTTTTACAACACGGTCTGTTTCAGTGTTTACTCATTTCTTTAGTGTGCGTGTGCACGCCACGGCACACATGTGGGATCAGAGGACACCTTGCTGTAGTTGGTTCTCTTTCACCGAGTGGGTTTTTAGGGTTAGACTCAGGTCTCAGGCTTGACGGAAGTGCCTCTACCTAAGAGCCAGCTCACCATCCCTGCATATGGTCCTTTTGAGGTATAGCTTGGAAACCTGTATGCCGAGAATATCTGTTTCACTCTTGCATCTAAACACTAACTTACCAAGTTGTAGTTTTGTTTTCTCACTTGACACTTGGAAGTTGTAACTTCACTCTCCTCATATGTACCATGTTGTTCCTCAGAGCCCCGTTTCTTTGTTGTTGTTGTTTGAGACAGGGTCTCACTATGTATCTCTGGCTGAACTGGAACTCAGATCTGTCTCTCTCTGCTGCTGTGTTGGAACTAAAGGTATGAGCTACTGTGCTTTTCTGTGAGAACCCCATTTTCAATGTTTTCTTTGTGGACTCCATTTAAAAAAAAAACAACTTCTTCTGGAAACTTTTGGGGTTCCTGTTTCTGCTCTTTTGTTTATTTTCAGTGCCTTTTCTGTCTTTTGTTTTTTTCCAAGGCAGGGTTTCTCTGTGTAGTCTTGGCTGTCCTGGAATTCACTCTGTAGACCAGGCTGGCCACAAACTCAAGAGATCTGCCTGCCTCTGCCTTCTGGGTTTAAACGTGTGAGCCACCACCTCTCAGCTGCCTTTTCTGTCTTTTGCTGTCCTGACAACTCTATTCTTGGATTAGCAAGTGTTGTGTGAACTTTGCACCAGATCAGGCACCAGTGATAAGCAGCAGTTCCACTCAAGTCCCGGTAAAACCAGCGAGTTTAGTTAGGGTCACTGTGTTAGTTTCTTTCACTGATGCTGTTTGAGAACACCCTGGTGGAAGTGACTTAGGGCAGCAAGGGTTTCTTTTGACTCATGGTGCAAGTACAGTCCCCTATAGAAAGGAAGAGCGAGCATCGAGAGCTTGGGAGCTGGGCCAGTAGAGTGTTGTCAGGAACAGAGAGCAGCAAACTCATGCTGCTCACACCTTGTTTCTCTTACCCAACCAGGTGATGGCCTGCCCGGAGTGGGCAAGTTCCCACTTTAACTAAAGCCATCCAGACAACCTCCAGCCGTCATCCTAGAGGCCAGTCTGCAGGTGCTCCTGGGTGAGGCCAACTGACAGTTAACACCAAATGTCACAGTTGCTGCTGGAACGGAAAAGGGTTCTTAGAGGAGCTTGGGCAGCTGGCGGGCTACTGCACCGCTAGCAGGATAATCTCTGCATTACTGTTTACAGATCGTGGGCAGAGGAGTACATTAAGCATTTACTGTCTGTAAATCCTTGGGAGGGTAGCCTCAGGAGCCCTTCCCCACCCTCCTGGGACAGTGACTGAGCCCAGTCTTGTTCAGGGTTCCTTCGAGGTAATCACAGCTGCTGATAGGTCTAGAGGGCGGTGCCTCGCATGCCGTGGTATTTATCTAGCCTGGTATTATCTGCTGTGCTTTGGTGTTTGACATTAATTAGAGTTGTAACTAGTTCATGTTTTCTCTTTCCTTTCCTTCCAGTGTTCTTGTCAGTGCTTTCATAGTTTCTCACAATTCTTGGATGTTCCCTTCCGCTCATTCATAGTCTTGCTTCTCTGTCTTTCGGTTTGGGAAGGTTTTATTATAGATGCTCAAACTTAGAAAGTGTCCTCTACAGGTTATTGAGTCCACAAAGTCATTCCTAATTTCTGTTGCTGTTTTTGGTCTCTATGCATTATTTAGTTCTTAGGACTTCCACCTTTAAACTACCATCTGTTGTTACATGCTGGCCCTGAGAGCATGTCACATACCAGCTATGCCTGTTGAACGTCTTTCCCAGGAAGCTTAGTGCCCCTGCACTGAGCACGTCTGGAGTCTGCTCTGCCTTCTTCAGGGGCAGAGCAGAGCCTGGTCTAGCCACAGTCTCCGTGTTCAGTAAAGTCAGAAGCCCTGCGCTATCACTCCGACCCTCTCTTACACATGGTCAGGCTTTCTCAGCCCTCAGAAACCCTTGCTGCTGTCTTACTCCTCTGCCATTCCCGATGGGATGTAGAAGGCTGTGTTCACCACAGTGGTGCCTCTTCTCTGTCTTCCTGAGATTCCAGCAGACAGTTGCCTGGCCAGTTTGGTTGGCAGTCACTTACTCAGAGCAGTCCCCGAGAGGGGTGTAACCAGGCCTTTTTGGGCCCTGTGGTGCAGAACCCTGCTCTGTTCCCACTGCCTCCTTTTTCCCCTCAGCCTCTATTGATACCTGTGTCCTCACCCAGGCTGAATTTGCGAGGCCCAGCACACCTGAAGAAGCACATTTACTGCTGTCACACATTACTTGACTTTGAAACTCTTCTCCCCACAACTTTGCAATTCAGTTAATGTAAGTTGAATAATATGTGCCAGGCACTATTCTAACTGGCTACCATGGTGAATTAATGCTAGGTTTCTGCCCTTTGCAGCTGACATCCTCACACTGGGAAATGACAGGGTTGCTCCACTGACTGAGGGCGTGTGTGTGTCTGTGTGTGTGTTGAGGGGGTAAAGCAAAAGGATTGGTATGTTCCTGGGAGTTGAGGGAGGTAACTGTGTAAGAAGTGCTAGTAAGGAATGCCAGGAGGAAGAAAACTGGGTGGAAGGCCAGACACAGGCGCTGAGGCACGAGAAAGACTGGTAGATACGATATGAACCTCGTGACAGTGGTGGGTCCTGGGAGATGAGGCCACAGTGTAACAGGGACAGGTCCTGCAGGCTCCCTGCAAGGCACAGAGGAGGACTTGGAAATGTAACCCGGAATGCAAAGTGGGAACGACATAAGAATTGTGAACCAGGGTTGTTTGCTTTTTTTGTTTGTTTGTTTTTTTAACTTTATTTACTTTAATTTTATGTGCATTGGTGTTTGACTGCATATATGTCTATGTGAGGGTATTGGATCCCCTGGAGCAGGAGTTACAGACAGTGAGCTGCCATGCCCGTGCTGGGAATTGAACCCAGCTACTCTGGCAGAGTAGTCAGTGCTCTTAACTCCTGAACCATCTCTCCAGCCCCTGATGATTGCTTTTTAAAATAGGGTCTCATTGTGTAGCCCTGACTGTCCTAGAGCTTTCTTTGTAGACCAGGCTGGCCTAGAACTCATAGAGATCTGCCTGTCTCTGCTTCCCAAGTGCTGGGATTAAAGGCATGCACCGCCATGCTCATTTAGTTTATTTTTAAACTAAAGAAGTATCTGGCCTCTTGAGACTGGATGGTATGGGAAAAGTATAGGCCAGTTGGAGGTGGTGGTGGTGGTCCAGGCTTAATGGAAGGTGCTTGGAGAGGAGTGGAAGCTGTGGAGGTAGGAGGAGCTCTGTAATGGCCGCGAGTCTCCACAGGGCTTGTGCTGAGACTGTTCAGAGGGAGAAGTTGTTTGTGGACTGATGACAAGTCTACAGATCATTGACACTGTGCTAAGCGCCACTCCCCAACTCAGGGACTCGATGGGATAATGACTAAATACGCTCGACTTTCCGCGGCTGCCTGGACTCAGCCTGCAGGTTCTTCTGCCCTGTGAGCTACATGCTGGGCCACTGGGGTCCTGGCCCTGCCTGGCTCCATGGTGCCTCTGGTCATTCACTGGCAGTCATTCATGCATGGAGGTGGTAGAAGCTGCCGGCTGACTTAGGACGCGGGCTTCACGCCCGCGCCAGGCGTTGCTGCTCACAGTCTGATGGGTCAAAGTTCTTTGCAGATGGCTGGGTTGGGGTACACTACTCCTGATACAGGAGCTGTTATACCTGCAAAGACGGGAGGAGTTGCTAGTGGCTGTGTTTGGAAACTGCATGCCCCAGCTTTGAAGACTGCTTTGAAATTTACTTGAAGCTTTGGAAGAATTTCAGAGCTGGCTTTTGAGGAGTTGGGTGTCTAGCCTGGGAAAGTCTGAAGGCAAATTACAAAGGAAAAAACTTTGCCCTTTCAACATGTTCTTTTCTAGGCTAAGAAGAAACTGACTAACAGACAATTTGATTTCTTAGCTTCATCTTGGCACCCCTTGTGTGAAGGTCTTTTAATCGTTGTTGGAGCTCTTTGCTGTTACAGCCCTAATTGAGGTGTTCTGTTGCTACATGGCCTGGGGCCCCAGCAACCCTTACTGGAGAACAGCACACCGCCAGTGTGGCCAGTGTGGCCAGTGCAGCTCTGCAGCTTCTAAAGCACGGCTGTGAAGCCCACCAGTCTGGCCTAGTTCCTGCCTAGTCTTTGGTGAGGCCTCCTTGCTGTAGTGACAAGGGTTAGGACTAGTAACCGACATCACTCCTGTGTTTGCTGTGTTTCCTTGGTAAAGGAGGAAACAGTTAAAAAAAAAGTCCATTGGCCCTGATGGCTCTTAAGGTAAAAGCATATTTGTATAATAAATAGTAAATAGCCCATCTATGGTAGCTTTTTTTTTTTTTTAATCTATTTTTAGGCAAAGTTCTATGAACATTATGTCAAAACTTCAGCTTTCCAGATAGGTAGTGCAAAAAGACCTCTTCCTGACAGACATTGAAGAGAACCATTCTTGAGTATATGTATGTATATATATTCTTCCCACAGACAGCCTTGCCAACCAGGAAAGGATTCCGGCACCAGACCACTAGGTTTTTGTATCGTTTGGTGGGCTCAGAAGATCTGGCTGTGGATCAAAGTATTGTCAGCCCTTATACTTCTCGGATCTTGAAGCCGTTTATCAGGTATCCACGATCTCATTGCTTTAGTTTAAATATCATCAGCACGTAGAGTTGATAGTCTGGACTGAAAAGTGAGAGAAGGAAAGCTGTCTCAGTTGAGCCAACATCTGAACTGAGTACGGGGAGAGCTGCTGTTGTGCATATTTTGGGTACACTCTGTGTTTGCACAGGAGTGCACGCGTGCGCATGCAAGAGCACTGACATGTGGAACTGTGGTTGCTTTTTGGGTCTCCTGCTTCAGCACTCAGAACCTTTTTATTAAATTTAACTAATTTCCAGACAGGTTCTCACTGTATTACCTTGGCTGCCTTGGACCTCATTGTGTAGCTCAGGCTAGCCTTCAACTTACAGAAATCTGCCTCTGCCCCTTGAGTGCCACCATATCTGGATTGCCCCTTACTTTTTTTTTTTTAATTTTAAATTTTTAAATAATTTTATACATTCACTTGTATCCCAGCTGTAGCCCTCTTCCTCTTTCCCTCCCAATCCTCCCCTTCCTATCTCATCTCCTCCCTGCCCCCTTCCGAGTCCACTGAGAAGGGGTGTCCTCCTCTCCTTCCGTCTGGCCCTAGCTTATCAGGTATCATCAGGATGGTTGCAATGTCCTTATCTATGGCCTAAGCCCCTTACTTTTTGAGTTAAGAGTCTTTCAGTCAATCTAGAGTTGGCCGTTTCAGCCTAGACTGGCTGGCTTACAAGCTCCAGGGATCTCCCTGTGTCTGCTCTCCAACACTGGCATACCCCACTTTTACATGGCTATGCGAGATTTGAGTGCTCATGCATAGCAAGCACTTTCCTCCTCAGCCCTCCCTAGCCCTGTGCTTTTCTTCTTATTAGAAGTTGATAATGAATGTTGTCCAAGCAATGAATGGAAGCTGAGGCCGCCATGCTTACTCTGCAACTCCATCATCAACCTGATCCACCTTGCCTAGCACTAGGTTTCTGGGAAAACCTGTAGAAAGGCCATTTGTAGGCCCGCTGTGGTCTTTTCTCTCATGCTCTCCTGCTGTCAGCAGATTTGTACAGTGCCTCCTCTGGCCTCTGGTCATGCTAGAGAAACATCCCCATGTCAGGCACTTCTTAGTATATCTAGGTACAGTTTCTGTTTCTCATTTTGCATCATGCAGTCCCTGGTGGGTACCTGAGGGGTCTGGCTTAACCCGTGTTCAGAGTGAATTCAGAAAGCAGTAAAGTTGCATGTAGCTAGCAAGCATATAAAGCAATGCGACTTAGGATGATAATGCAAGCATTCAGAGTAGCTGTGAGTACATAGCTCGCAGCAATAAGTGTTTCTCTTGACTTTAACTTGTTTATTTTCTGTGGTGCTGGAGGCGTGATTATGAGACCAAGCCACCCAAACTACAGCTCCTGTCACAGATTCGTTCCCACGTGCACAGGAGTGACCCTTACTGGACAGCTGAGCCTGATGCGCCTCTCGATTACTGCTACGTCCGACCACACCACATCCCAACGATCAACTCCATGTGTCAGGAGTTTTTCTGGCCTGGTATGTCTCTGTGTCTCAGCCAGGCAGATCGACTTTCCTGTAGATAGTTCACCTAGCTCTGTTTTTAACTGGTATCTGCCATGACCCTAAGCTCTCTACTTTAGATTTCATCTGGTCTGTCTTTACTAACATACAAACAGTAAAGCATAAATGCCTCTCGCTTTCCTAAGATCAAGAAGTCAGCAATTAAAGTAATCAACAGTGTTTTTGTTTGTTTTCTTCCCTGTTTGTCTCTGCTTCTAGAATAAAAGCTTCATCCTGTTTTGCTTCTGCCTAAGTTTAGATACCAGGTAATGTCTCTCCAAAATACACAGACTCATGGCTGGGCATGTGGACGCTTTTGCTTTAGGCCTAACAGTTCTTTATATCTTGTTGTTTGGCTATTTCTTAGACAGTCTTAGGACACCCAAAAGCTATTTTTAAAGAAGCCAGATGCCCCCTGACTTCAGAAGCCAGGCTAAGCCAGGATGACTTGTCATTTCGTCAGCCAAGACCTAGGCCATCAATCTGCAATTTCATTGCTAAATGTAAGCGTACTCTCTGTGGGTCTGCTCTGAAAGCTACGGGACACATCTCTTCTGCAGATGCCACAGATTTTATGCCCTGCCTATGGTCTAACAATGTGGTTCTGTCTCTTTAGGGGCGGTACTGGGTCAAAAAGTCACATTCTGGGAGTATCTCCTACTTCTGCCCTAATGGTAGGGATTAGCCACACATTATGCACACCACCTTTAAACTTTATTTTATTGTGAAAGCTTTCATAGAAAGCTTGTCAAGGTGTGAAACGGGATAAAGTAAATCATATTAGCAGGCTTATGAGATAGTCTAGTAGATAAGTGTTTGCCACACAAACCTGCATCCTGAATTCTTCCTCCGAGTCTACAGTAGGAGAGAACAGGCTCCCACAGTCCTTGGACCTCCACACACGCTGCGCACGGCACGTGTGCACCTGTGCTCACACTTACTCACGTACACAGCAGCAGCAATAATAACAACATTTGAAGGAAAGGCGGGGAATGGTATTGGCACTTTCAGGGACCTTTACCCCTGCTCTGTCAGGCCTCAGGGTGTACCTCATCTTAACACAGTGCAGGAAATGAGACATTTTAAAATGTGCCAAGTCATACACATGGTGCGAGGCTGAGTCAGAGCCAGGTGTGTCCATTCTCAACCTGGAGTGCTCTCTGCTACCCAACCTGTCCTGTCTCTCTGCTTCTAACATTGGTACTTAGAAAAGACTATGTTAATTTTGATATTTTCTAAAATGTATTTTTCTGAACGGAATATGTGGTATCTATGGTAATGGCTTGGTTTCCAGTTTGGGGGATGTTTTAGCATGCAGGTGTAGCAGTGAGTACACGTGAACCGCTTGTTGTGGATGAGCCCCAGAAGGCACATGGTCTGAGTGTCTGGCTGGTTCTTTTCTTTAGGCATTGACCTCTCTGAGTGTCTGCAGTACCCAGACTTCAGTGTCGTAGTCCTTTATAAAAAGCTCATTGTTGCCTTCGGCTTCATGGTTCCAGACGTGAAGTACAACGAAGCTTATATCTCATTTCTTCTTGTTCATCCGGAATGGAGAAGAGCGGGGATTGCCACATTCATGATCTATCATCTGATTCAGGCAAGTTCTCTGCTCAGGGTTTAACTTTAAGTGAAGTGATTTACCTTTCGGGGCTTCCTTGAAAAACCAGAGGAGGCATGAGGCTGAGCTGGCCTGTCCAGCATAGCCCAAGCAACAAGAAGCCATTCTCACCAGTCATGAGACTGTGAAAGCCCCTAAAATAAACCTCCAGCCTCTAAAATAAGATTTTATTCCTGGCGTCAGAGAGCCCTAGGTGAACATGTATCATAAATGAAACAGCAAAACATGCATGTGAGCAAGGCACATGCACGTGCATTGACACTGCTCTGCTCTTATGCCTCAAAAAGTGGCACACTGTTTACAACCATCTATCACAGCCTAGTAAGTCGTCCATCTGAAATGAGTGAATGCAGCGGTGCTGATAGGAGATCCTGCTTGGTGTGAGACTTACTGTGTTACTCTCTGATGTATCTGGCAGGAATGGAGACCACTGGGTTTTGCTCACAGCCTACCCAGTGACACACATCGCCAACAAGAGCGGCCCTCCTGATCCTTTCAGATAGTGCTCTTGGTAACTAAACATTCAAATCTATGAGCCTAGGGGCTCCATTCTCAGTTAAACCACCACAGTCACCCAGGCTAGCCCTGAACTTAGAGTAGTCTACCTGCCTCAGGCCTTTGAATGCTCAAATTACAGGCCTCAGCAAGGAGTGTTCTCACTATATAGCATTGGCTGGTCTTGAACTCACAGAGATCTGCCTACCTATGCCTCCCAGTGCTGGGGCTAAAGGCTTGTGTAGCCACTTCTGGCCCAACAATGAACTTTTTTCTCATAAAACAAATATTTTTATTGCATTAGCTAAGTATAAGAAGCTGTTTGTTTGTTTGTTTGTTTGTTTTGTTTGTTTGTTTCAGAGCTGAGGACTGAACCCAGGGCCTTGCACTTGCTGGGCAAGTACCCTACCACTGACCTAAATCCCCAATATAGGCAGCTTATTTGTCTCTTTGAACCTTAAGCTTCTTCAGGTACAACACCAACAAGCAAGAACTTTTTTTTTTTTTTTCAAGAACTATTCTGGTAAATCTATTTAGAAACTGTTTGGTATAGAAAATTATGCACTATTGATTTAGACAAAATTCTTTGTTTTATTTTGAGATAAGGGTTCCCTGTATAGCATTGGCTGGCCTGGAACTTATATTTTCCTGCCTTGAGAAAGGGCAAAAGTGATAGTGTTTTTCTAATGGTTAATGACGCTTGCCTTTCCAACTGTTAATGAAATGCACTTAATAATTCCTGGACATGGGTAGGAGTCTGAAGAGCATCTTCCTAGAAGACTCCTAAGGCAGAGGCTGCAAGCCATCTCTTGTTCACACGTGCTGCCTTGTGTCAGTTCTGTTGGAAGCAGCTCAGTGTTTCCCACATCCCTCTCTGTGCTTCATGTTCCATGCAGGATGCATCGCCACGGTTTCCATCTTCCTCTCAAAGGGTGCCTATGCACGTGTCTGGCTCTTGTGTTCCCAGCAGGGGCTGGACTGCGGTGGGATGACAGCTCAGAAGCGTCCTTGGTGCTTAGTGTGAGGTCTGGCAGGGAGGCTGCTTCTTGCTGACTGTTTGCTCGGCTCATCTTTATATCGAGGGCACTTTGGGTCCCAATCAAACTGTAGCCCCAGGGCCCAAATATTGGCTCAAATTGTTCTAGGGGGCACGGTGAAAAAATAAATAGAAAAAGAAGGAAACTGTCAGTTGCCTTCTGTGGTGTCCTTGACAGCCAGAAATCATCAATTTTAAGAACTGTCAACTGTAGCATTTGGTACCTTCCTCATTAAACAAGCTCATGTCTGTGTGGCCTGGAGTATCATTCTCTGTGACGGATTAAAGAATCTAAAAATATGCCTTCGTGTTCATAGAAACATCTCTGCTATTCTTTCCTAAGTCCAGAGGCCTCAGTTCTGGGACATTGATTCTGTCAGATGGAAAGGGACCTAAGGACTCAGATATGTATCTTCAGGCTTTATAAATTAAAGATTAGTATTTTGAAGTAATGTATATAACTTAGGTTATTTTCTAGCATTTCTAAGAAAGGAATTATTACAGGTTTTGGAGATGATATAGCTGTTATCTATATTGAAAAGAGGAATTCTCATTCTCTAGCTCTTCAAGGTTGTCATATTGTTGGTACTGGTATGTCTGATATTTAAACTTAATTGAATTATAAATATAGTAATATGGGAGCTGGTGAGATGACTCATTGAGTAAGAGCATGTCCACTGACCCCAATGGCCTGAGGTAAATGCGTGGGCCCGCACACACACCACCGCTCAGACACAATATTAAGTAGGTAAATAAAGTATAACTGAAGTAATAAAGCAGGTCTAGAGAGATGACTCAGCTGTTGAACACTAGCTGCTTTTGCAGAAGACCTTCGTTTTGTTCCCAGTACCTACATGGTGGCTCACAACCATCTGTAACTCCAGTTCCAGGGGCGCCATGCCTCTTGTCCTCCGAAGGCTCCTGCACACATACATTCACTCGTGCATATGGTAAAATAAGATAAATGATATAAGTAAATAAATGTAATGTAATAAAGTATCCTTGTGGCCTTTTGCTTCAGGGTTATAACGGCCCTTTAGAGCACATGAATCCTTTAGCCTCAGACACGGCTTAGAGGCAGTGCTCTGGTTTCCACTGGTTGCTAGGTGCTGCCGTGCCTCAGCCCCGTTCCCTGATACCCAACTTGCTTCCTTCTGAAGAGTGTTTTCATTTGCTCGTCTCCCTTTGGCCCTGTGGCTTCACCGTGTGTTTTCCACTCCTTGGCAGACATGCATGGGCAAGGATGTGACGCTTCACGTCTCCGCAAGCAACCCTGCCATGCTGCTATATCAGAAGTTCGGCTTCAAGACTGAGGAGTATGTTCTGGATTTCTATGATAAGTATTACCCACTGGAAAGTGCAGCGTGTAAGCATGCATTCTTCCTGCGGCTCCGACGCTGAGGTGAACCCAGTTCTTCCCAGAGGACCGTGGATGCTGTCAGAGAATGGGCCTTCAGGAGCAGTGCGGGCCCTGCTGTCCTGTGAGTGATAGCCTCCACATGGCCCAGCTACCTGAGTGGAAGCCATGCGCAGTGGAACAAGTAGGCAGCTTTTCCATCCAGAAACCCTCCAGCCCGTCCTGGAGTGGCTTTCCAGCAGCATCCTGGACTCCGCTGTTAGCCAGCAGCAAGTGACTCTGCCATCCTCTTTCCACACAGTAATGAATGAGCACACAAGAGCTTCTGAACTGAAGTGTTTGCCCGAGGGCCTGCTTGTCCTGTGTTAGCACTCAAGAAATGTGAAAGGTGTTGAAGATCCGCAGTGCCCACACAGCCCTCTGCTGTCCTAGGAAGAGAGATTATAAGGTGTGAGGACTGAATCCAGCCCTGTTCCTAGCCTGTGGTGTGCTGTCATTGAATTCCAGAGGACTCATGGGACACTGAAGCCCTTTTGTCTCTTGCTGACTTTGGTCCCAGTCAGGAACAGTGTACTCAGTGTCCTTCTCCATGCTGCTTTACCTGATCTACCTGTCAGCATCTCCTTGCAGGGAGAGTGACCTGGTACAAGGAGTTCACTCTGGGAAGTAGCTTCAGTTGTTCCATGCCTTCCCTGGCCCTTCCGGTGCTCGGGACAGTTGCTCCACCAGAATGGAGGAGCGGGGTGGCGCAGGCAGAGCTGGAAGCCCTGTCTGCAGAATGAAGCTGCTTCCTGTGTTGCAGAGGTTGGAAGTGGACCCAGTGAGTGCATTTCTAAAAGCATCAGATACTCTCAAATAAAAATCTTTTATCCTGTAACAGCTCACAGCCAAGGCTTCTGCCCAGTTGTTTGCACTCAGCTTGTGTCTGATGAGGAGCAGAGGCTTCTTTCTTGCTCTGTGGCCTTTGGGTTGGTTTGAGAATCCAGAAGGAGCTGAATGCTTTCTAGTACACTGGCCTGCATATCTAAACCTTTACCCTGTGGCACACTGTTTGGATCCTCTGCTCACAGGCTCCATCTGCAGCTCGAATCCCTGCGTTGATGGGAATGTTGCTCTGTCACTTTGAGAATCTCTGTTTGTTTGAGAATTCAGAGCAGCACCATCTAGCGTCTTTTTGTTTTCTTCCTTCCTCCCAAGCACCTCCGGCCTTTTAAAGGTTTCTGTTGATGATGGCTCATAAGTCCTGGCCAAGTCACTTTTCTGTTGCTCTGATGAGACACAGTGACCAAGGCAACTAGTAGAAGAGTTTATTGGGCTTACAGTTCCAGGGTTTAGAGTCCACAACCATCATGGGAAGGAACATGATGGCAGCAGGCAGACACAGCACTGAAACAGAGCTGAGATTCATGCCTTGACACACAAGCATGAAGCAGAGAGAAAGCTAACTGGGGTGGCATGGGCTTTTGACGTCTCATGGTAGCACACCTCCTCCAACAAGCCGACACTTCCACCAACTGGGGAACAACGAGTCAAATATGTGAGCTGATGGGGCCACTCATCAGCCCCATGAAGTAAAATTGAGGAAGCCACATGTCCCAAACCTGGAGACCAGCTTGCAACTGTCTTAGGTGAATGTCAAGCACGGGTGTGACAGAATGGCTCAAGGGCACTGTCTCCAGCTCCCTGGTGCTGAGGAAGGCTATGATTGCTTTAATTCTATTCCACATCTGTTTTAAGGTCTTTACCTTTCTCTTTTATACAGTGTAGCTTTATCTTTGCCTGTTTTACATATTTCTAAAGATGATTTTTTATGTGATGAGTGTTAAAAGTAAATGCCAGGTAATGTGATTGCGCCCTCACCACTTATTCAGGTAGGTATCCCTGACAATTACAGATGATTTTTTATCACCTCACATTGATGCTTACTGTCAATCTGTATTAGTCAGTGTTTGCAAAGGGAACAGAACTGATGAGATGAATACACACATATATGGCAGAAACATTTATCAATTATTATTACATATATCTATATCTATGTATATAGATCTATGCACATGTATGTAAGAAGGGGCTGGATTACTTAGACTGGCTTACAGAATGTGATCTGTGTAGTCCAGCAATGGCTATCATGATGTTTCGAAAGGCTGAGACTCTGGTAGTTCACTTCCAAAGGCTGGATCACTTTGCATTCCCTATCTGGTGCTGGAGTGCTAGATTTATGGAGCGCTGCCAGTCTGTATTGGAATCCTGAAGAAGTTAGATTTAACACTGGCCACAGCAACAGGATAGACGAGCTGGCCAGCAAGAGTGAAGGCAAGCAGGCAAAAAGCCAAGCTTCGTTTTTTCATGTCCTCCTACATGGGCTGCCACCATAAGTGAGATCCAGATTTAGGGTGGGTCCCCTTCAGATAATGTGATGAAGAAAATCCCTCACAGGAGCACCCAGCAGAGGCCCCCAGCATCCTCAAGCTCACAAGGTTAGCCATCACGTCTTGACACACACCCACTTCTTATGTAATGCTTAATTTACAAATGAAAACAATAACCAGCTCATAATTCTGCCCCACGTGCAGCTGCAGATATATCTTATTTTAACATAGGTGGCCAAGTCCTTTGAGGAATACTTAGTCTTTTGATTCTGATTCAGATTTACAGTACTTAAACACTGTTATCTCAATGTTACATTAAATGATAATAGACGAAAGAACACAAATACCTGTTTAATATATGTGTCTATATGCACAAACACATTCTTAACAAATAAGACAAAAATACTTGTAAATTATAATCTTTGTCTCCATAATTAGTCTAGTGGCCTTTGCAGGTGTTAAGTGAATATCGTATTTTAGTTGCCTCATCTGTGAAATGAGTTGATAATACCTACCTCAGAGACTTGTGGCAATGGGCAGGCACAGGTCCGAGAAACTTTTAAACAGTTGGGGTTTGTGTAGCTCAGTAGAAGAGCACTTGGCTAGGTTATGCAAGGATTGGGGTTCCATCCTCAGCACTGCAAAACCAGAAATCAGAAATCAGAACTCTTCTTTCAAGCTTGGCACACTGATGTCACAGCTCTGACTGTGCCTGGAGAGGGGCTGTGGTCAGAACTGCTGTCTGGAGCAGAGCACCACATGCCTGGGCTGAGCAGAGAGGCAGTGCCGCCCAGGCACCGGGCCAGGGGAGCCAGCTGAGCTTCAACGCTCGCTCTGCTCACTCTTCCTCATGCCTAGAATATTTCTGTATCGCAGATTGTCACATCCTGTCCACCTCCTTTGCTTGGGTAAGTGAAGGACACTAATTTTTAGAGCCTTCCATTACATTCAGGTTTCCCTGTGCGAAGAGGACCTCTGCAAAGTAAGTGAATTGGAAACATTTTGGTTTCTGTGAGCTGAAGAGGAACATGGATAGTGGCTTAGCCAAGAAGCTGGAGGGAGGCCTGTGTCTGCTTTCTAACGTCAGCTCCTGTGTACAGTCTCTTTGCGCCTTTGCAAATCAGTCTGGCAGCTCACTTAGGTGGTCCCACAAGTAGTGGGCATATAAGCTGCTTCTAGCTTCACACTGCCCACAGGGTCAGGAGAAAGATGGAGCTGCCTGCTAAGGTTTCCCATGCTGCCTCGTGTATCTGGTGGAGTAAGCCATGATGCTCAGATAGGGGCCCTGGATGCTCTGAGCGCAGCCTCAAGAGCATTGCATTCTTAGCAGTTTGTGACTGCTGTACACCGTGGCCACAGCTACAGCGGCTATCAACAGGAAAGGCAAGGGTGAAGAGCAGACCAGTGGAGAAGCAGCGAGGCTCCCCATGCTGTGTTCTTCACTTCAGGCAGCTGAGATGTGTTGGCCACACTGGGAACTCTAGCCAGGGATTAGCTTACACTATCCCTATTCTTAGCCATTCAGGACCAAGCTCTAAATATTCCCTGACCCTGACTCCCAGCTATGATCTTAATACGTGTGCTCCCTACAGTGGATCAACTTAAATGGTATTAAGAGATTGGTTTCTCAGAGAGGGTCAGGGGGCTCCCAGCAGAGCATAGTGATGCATTCCAGCCCAGGCCAAGACTGTCTCAAAAGAGGAAACAGCAGAGATGGGTTTGTTTCCTTTCACTGTGAGAGACCAGAGCAGGTTGGCTCTGTCTGCGAAGCAGAGTAAACCCTTCCCAGACAACACATCTCGAACATAGAGCTCCTACAAATGTCTGCCCATTCTGGAGCAGTTTGTCCTAAATGTCCCAGGGCACTAGCCATTCTCCCTTGGGCAGTTCATTCAAGTTGCTATGCCAGCTTCTAATTGTCTTCCTGCTGTCTACCTTTAGCCCAGTGCCAGGCAGTTGTATTTGCTTTATAAAACGTGTGTGTGTGTGTGTGTGTGTGTGTGTGTGTGTGTGTGTACGTGTACAATATAGAAAAATTTTAAAGTAAAAAAAACATGATTTTACTCTCAAGTTACTTTTTTGTTGGCTTATTTTTTTTTAGCATCATAGTGCGTATGCATGAGGTTTTCATGTCCTGTTTTCTTAACTGTTTATATTATAACTGTGCTTTCATAAGTTAACAGTGCAGTTAACATATTTGTACTTTTTTTTCACCTTGGGTTGGGCTTTTTACTCTGTATAGATTCCCAGAATTGGAATTCTTAGGTCAGAGGTCAGAAGGTGTGTTCGTTTTTATTGCTAGTTTCTAACTACCAACATCTTCATTAGTAAATTAAGGTCCCTGCCGTATCTGAAAGCTTCCAGGGTTAGAGGCTGAGATGATGAAGAGAGTCCCATCAGAGAAATGCTCGCCAAACAGCTATGAGAACCTGCGTGTGGCTGGGATCCCAGAACTGGCCAGCCTGGCCCAGTCAGCAAGCAACAGAGTGCAAGCAGTTCCTAAGCCGAGACCCTTTAGTACGCTTCTCCATGTTGTGCTGACCTCACCCATAAAATTGTCTTGTTTTTGCTTCAGAACTGTAACTTTGCTGCTGTTAGGAATTGTAATGTAATGACCAGTAGGAGGCATTGCTTGGGCTGAAATTCTAAGAACTGAGGTCCATCCTGAAGGGAGACTGGCTTTCCAGTCAAATGTCACATTTGGGACCTGAGTGGAAGTAAGCACAGAGCTTTCGTTTCTTCAGGTCAGGAAGGATGTGCAGGGCCAAACTTAAAGGCCGTTCAGCCCCAAAGCAGGGCCGGCCAGTGCCCACACCTCTGCCCCTAAGTATCTGACCACTGACCCACTGAACTTCCCTAGGCAAGGTGCAACCAGGGCCTCCCCTGTCAGGGCTTCACGTGAAGGTTTATACGAGCCTGAGTCTAGGCTGGTAACAAGCCTTTCTCTGGGTCAGTCTGGATGGATGGCTCTGTTGTGGATACATGTTTGTGACCAGGATTTGTGTTGAGGACCCCAGGCCAGCACAGATTAGGTTATGGAAAAGGCTGCCTCACAGGTTAGTTTATTGTACCATTCCCCAAACCCCAGTTCCCCTCTCATTGACTTCTGATGTGACAGGTCCCAGAAGTAAGGGCTGGGCAGCTCCTAGAGGAGGCCTTAGGGAGCTGCAGCTGCCGCCCTTCCTGCCCCGCACCGGCCAGCTCCCAACACCTGTGTGCTCCTAGTTCCTTGAAGTGTTTCTGTTCCATGCCTGCATTCTGACTTCTTTCCTGGTATATGAGATGTTTAGATGAAGGTCAGGACCCTTTCCAGTGCTGGGGAGGCTTCTGGGTGCCTCTCCAGGATCACTGCTTTTCTGACCATTATCCCCATGGGTGACTTCTGTTCACCTTGAACTTCCTGTCAATGGAATGAGCTCTGGCTCTGAGTCCCCAGCTTGGTGGGTGTATTGTCCATTTGCATCTGCCCCTCCCCACAGGCCCGGAGCTCCTTGAGCTGTGAGTGCCTCATTGCTGCCGCCAGCCGAGGCAGGGCAATGAGGGGGCAGAGTGGATATCCATCTGCAGAGGGCACCTGTGCTCCATGGCAGAGGGTGCTGGGAAGAGTGCCAGCTGCCCACCTTCAGATCCAGCTTGCGCTTACCACTGTGTGACTGCAGGGGGTTCCCTCCACCATATCCTCAGGTTTCAGAGAATATGGCACCAGGCTTCTAGGGCCACTGTGGTGACCGCATGCATCGCTGTGATGAAGCCCTTAAGACAGCTGCATGCATTGCTGTGACGAGGCTCTTACAGACAGCTGCATGTGTCACTATGACGAGGCTCTTACAGACACTGTGGAATAGGCGCAGACCTGAGCCTAGTGGACAGTCGCTGAGCTTCCAGGATTTTGTGCCTCTTTGCAGTGACATACAGGAAAGAAGAACAATTCAGAGGAGTGTAAAGTGTTTTTCACCTGTGGCCGGGCAAGAGGGGAGAGAGGATGGAAGGGGTTTCCAGTGACCTTTTATGGGTAGTTAACACTGTCCACCTCTCCCAAGTTCCTACAGCCCTGGCTTTTCTGAACTTGCTCCCACAGCTGAATGACACTCAGGTGGACTAAGGGCCACAGTCTCTGGCTGTTGCCTTTCCTAGGTAATCTCTGCAGCATGGCCTCCAGTTTTCTCCCGCCTCAGCACCATGTAAATGTTTGTCAAATGAAGACATGAAAAGTCGTTCTTCCACCTCAGCTGCAAGCAGGCCTAGAATTAACTCTCATTTTGACCTCTGCGCCCAGAGTTGAGGTTTGCAGACAGCAGCCTGCCTGGCACCGGCTTTTGTGAACAGCACATTATTGTGTGTACTGCCTGATCTTTCATGGCACAAGGCAGAATTGAGCTGACAGCACACACATCACCCGGGCCACAGGCTACAATGCTTACTACATTTTAGAACAAGCCTTCTGGTTCCTGCCCCGAGTTCTCCAAATTCTCCTGTAGCAAAGGTATGGTGTGTCTTTAATACAACCTGGCCTTACCAAGGGGGGAAATTGCCTCTGTTGGTTCAAGTGTCTGCCTGTTCTCTTGAATCCCAAGGGCTTCCCTGGCTTTCATCATGGCCCCCCAAAGATGTTTGTGGGCCCAGCTTTGGTGGGCTCTGTTGGGGGACATGGGATGGGCTTGAACTTGTGATTTCTAAGAGTGTGGTGGACAGCTCAGAGCAGACAGGCCCTTTGGGAATCCAAGGCCACACACAGAGAGGGGCTGACTGCCTCACTCCTTGCCAGGCAGGAGATAGCCTTGTTTGAAGTGAATTATTAAGTACTAGCCTCAGGGCCAAGCTCTGGCTAGACTGCCATCTCATCTAGGTCTTTTTACCGAAGCTGCTTTTGGAGATCACTCTGGAAGGCACCTGAGACATGAAAATAAGATCCAGTTATCATGTAAATCTAAGCCTGGTCTTAACAGCTGGGCTTTTCGCTCAGGACCTTGATTTTATCATTCTTGGGATAGACCCGAAGAACTAGAAATAGCTGAGTTTGGTGTAAGGAAAAACAGTGGAAGAAAAGGGAAACCTAATCTGTGTGTGTGTGTGTGTGTGTGTGTGTGTGTGTGTGTGTGTGTGCGCGCGCGCGCGCGCGCGCATGCAGAGGCTAAATTTTGGGTGTCATCCTTTAGAGACAGAGTCTCTCATTGTCCCGGAGCTTGCCAATTGGGTCATTGAGTCCCAGGGATCTGCTTGTCCCTGCCTCTTCAGTGCTGGGATTATGAAGTACAGCACCAGCCTGGCTCTTTTACATCAACTATTTTCACCAGCTCCCAAAGGCTTAGTCTTAATACACTTACTTGGAACCACCTACAAGAAGTACTGAGCCAAAATGATAAAATTCAGAACAACTGCTCCTATTTAT